ATTGTTTTGTTTCCTACCATAGAGGCTTGATATATTAGATTCCATTTTATCTTTCTTTAAATGCAGAGTCTGTGATTTATATTCCATGAATATTTAATAATTAAAGAAAAAGGCACCCTTTTTTTTTTTTTTTTTTTATCCTCTCCAGCATTATAAATGAATAAAAAAGATTCAGAAAACTTCAGGCTAGCAGTTATCTGCCTTCTAGTGGCTTTGGAGATTATACCAATGAAATATGTTTACAATTCTGTGTTAATAACCAATAACAAAAAAAATCACACCTTAACAATGACAGCACAGAGCTTTCTGAACATTTAGTATTTCAGGACTGCTGTTATTTTTAGGATATGGTCTTATTAGCCTTAGGAGATGCTCCAGTTACTTAAACCGTGGCCAAATTTAAATACAATAGATGCGAATACCCTTTACAGGCTACCTTCTTAACTACCGGAAAGTCACTGCTTTCAGACCAATAAAATTGAATTCTCACCTGAAAGTATTTTAAGTGTTCCTCTGAGAATGATTTACCAGTACATTTTACGCTCCTTCAAAAATACTTAACTGCCATCTAGTGGCTGAGTAGGCAGACTTCTTTGTGGTGTCTGTAAGGCTCTACTTAGACAGTTCTACCGTTTCTCCTTGCGATCTCATCTTTCCTTCAGGGCCTTTCTGACACTAGCAGAATCCAGTGCTTTAAATACAAACCTCAGCTAGAATAGAGAAGAACTCACACCCTCTCTTTAAATTATATTGGTGTTTCAGCTTGGAGAATAGAACAGTCATGCTCAGTCAATAAATATTTTAAAAGTTCGGTCTATTTATCTACTAGAGTTATTAAACAAAAAAATCTTAATGCTCATTAGTCTCTCTGTAGCAGAAACAAAACTACTGGAGCATGTTTAAGCTGAAGAAAACATTCTGACATTAACAAAAAGATCTTAGAATTGGAAACCTGCATAAAATCTGTGTTTCATGAACATTTAAAGACCAAATATACCTTATTTCTGCTTAAAAAAAGTCTGAGATTTAGCTTTGACAAAGATTAGTCTCCTTTTTACTGCCCAAGTAAAGCATTCTGCACTTGCACATTTCCTATGACTGTTTCTATACCCATAAATAAAGTATTTACCAGATCTCTATCATTTCTTGTGCCACAAGAAATTTGTTTTCTTCCTGTACATTTTTGATAAAGCATAATTTATTCTTAAGGCTCACAAAGAAACACCTACGTATGCTTACTTGTTTGAAGCGAAGATACCCCAAATTGTAACATTACATACTGAATTAAAATTATAATAAGTTGCTGCACCACACATATTCAAACCTAGACAATGTTGGGAAAGATTAGATTTTAAAAAACTCTTAAGTTTTTCTCTAGCTTTTTGTTATCTATGCTGGCATGAAGATATAGGAATTTTAAATTGATGCTCGTTCTTAAAACAAAATATCCAACTATTTGAGAGAACACAGATTATACCATTTACTTTGTAAAACTCAATGGGTAGATTTCATTATCATTCAATTTATACAGGAAACTTCTAAGATGTTTCCTTCATTCAAACTCTTTTCTCAATAAGCCCATTGCATCTTCTGAAAATATGTGTTTTTGTTGCCAAGAAAGAACATGCAAATTGAATCTGCATTTATAAAAAAGGCCATAAAATGGGAATTTTTATTAGCATAAAAACATTTTTCCTCCAGTTCCTATTGAACAGTTATTAGCCAGTCTTGTCTACAGCATCTTTGTCCAGATGAGAGCTTTGTTATACAGAAATAAGAAAAATTCCCTATTTTTTAAAAAAATCCCTATTTAATTTGCTATTGTAGAATCATTTCAGGCAAGTCTTCTTTGCCTCACCTCTATCTCTAAGAGTAACCTTTTTAAGCTTTCAGTCACAAGATTGAGTCACATTCATGCCTCCAAGACAAAGTTGAGCTGTGACATTTTATAGAAATTAAAAGTCCTAATCCAGCCAGTATTTTCATACTTCTAAAGTACACTGATTATATATTTATTTTCAAGTACATACACAACACTTTTTCTAATATTAGTGACAAAATCAGAACATCCCAGAAGTTGCTAAGTTATTACCCAAACGAATTATAACAATTTTTAGTTAAAGTCTAGAGTTAGAAAAAAAACTCCCCCTGAAATGCAGAGAGAGGGATTGTCATCAAAGCATAGTAGCAGTTTTAAGGGGATGGTCGAAGAATCAGAGCTATGTTTTCAAAGTAGAAGGTATATTCGACATGGTAAAATGTATCACGTAATTTAAGGTTTTTAAAGCTAGAATTGTTTCCTTATGATATTTTTGGAAAGTGCCCCAATAAGATCATGCACCATAAATCCATTTTTGGCAGCCTAGGAGCTGCCAAAATGTTGCCTGATTGTTACTCCTAAATGAAGTACATGGAATTTCAAGGAGTATAATTTTGGTTGGGTAATTATTTGTTGGTAGAAATTAAGCGAGCCAGACAAAAAACAAACAACTGAACTTGAAATGCTACAAGAATAAGGTTGTTCTTTGGTTGGCAAATTTTTCCACTGGAAACATAGTTTAAATACTCAATGCAAACTGTAATATAACCAAAATCGGATACGAGGCAGGAGACCAGACATCTTCAACGGAATGTAATTCATTACTTTGAAATTCTGACCTTCAAATACATGTAATCATGGCTTGCTTTCTAAATTTCTGCTGAGTAGGCATTATCACAGGTGATGCAATGTAGTTCAGATACAGATGATCACAGAAATATAAAACACTTTGGTAATAAGATGTGTAAAAGAAGAAGAAATTTAGGTGACTGTCAAACAGTATATAAGTTTTTGGTTCAGTGATGTCCCTGTACCCAAGCTCAGCTTTTATGTGATTATTTAACAATCACATTATAAGCTTTTATTTCCTGTCTGTTAAGACTCTATCAAATATATAAAATAAAGCAAAGTAAAACTGAGTTAAAGCGTAGGGAAAATTGCAATGGTACCATAAAAGAGCAGGAGAGCAAAAGAGAGAATAACTTGACTCTTACATAAAAGTACAGCTGCCAAATTGAAACATCAAGTTTGAAGCTCAGGTTTCTAAATGAGAACATTCAGTTTCTCTCTTTCTTCATTAAAGGACTTCCATCTAACAAAGATTACTCTTTGTTGTAGAAGACTATGTAGACATTGTTGCTCTTTTCTGGCAATTCAAAACTAAGACTTGAAATGACTGCCATTTTATCTTATTTTTCCCTCTACTCAACAAATCCTGCATTAAAAACAAGCATTCTCTTATAATCTCTTTTTTAAATTGTGACTTTTGTGAATAAGCTGTTTTTGACTGAAGAAGAGAAGTCTTAAAACTTTAGGAAATTAGGCCAAAAAATACAAGACTGCGTCTAACATCACAGAAGGAAGGAAATATTCAAGATATATTAAAATGCCTTAGAACGGCAAGAAAATGCAGAATCTGGGGAGGGAGTATAGGGCAGGGGGGAAGAGGACAGCAAGGTGACACGCACTTTTACTTCAGAAGCCTTTTGATGTAAATTTTATTAACAGAATTTTTATAAGCAAGATAAATTATCATGGTATGCTTGCATTTGTTTCTATGTCAATACCAACCACATCAAATTATTTTTACCCAAAGTGGAAAATTCTTTTTAAGGGAAGGATTAGGGTAGGGAGGAAATTTGAGAGAAACATAGTTGATCAGATTCAAATTTTATGCTAGCCCCCCGCCACTTTGTTATCACCTACTTGGATAACAGCAGCCAATGCTTGCTTCCTTCAGAAATAAAACTTACAAACTAGATAAAGAATGAAATGATAGATCTCTAGAAGAAACATTTCAGAGCATTACATCACATTTAACAAAAAGTACAAACTATAACAAGAAGAAATTGACTATAGTACATGATTTATCTCCAAACATGATAAAAGACATTAGTTTTACCATTTTGCTCTGTAAACATTCTTTTTTTAATATATAATATGTATGCATATGTTGGATATTTTCAGCTGTTTGGGACAATACAGAAACACTTTCATTTCACCCATGTCCATTTTCTAATATTAAGGTTTTTTCCACTCTGATTTTTAACGTAAACCAGAGAGAAGAAATAATACAGCAAAAACTTGAGAATACTTCTTGTCAATGAGGTGATCATGCACACAAAGTGCCTATGTTGTTATTCATTGATGACTAATAGTACAGAATGGAAAAAGTTCATATTATTGCTGTAAGAAATGAATAGCAAACAAGAGGGATGGAGATCTCTTAACGCTAGCCAATGGAATAAAATAAATCAGACAACATAAGTGACTGATGCAGGATAAAAAAAATGCATGGCACAAATATAATTTAAGCTTAAGCTATTGCAATGTAGAATATTTGTGATATAACTAATGTGTTCTAGTCTTCAAGTGCTCCTAAATATGGAGAGAGGAGAATTTAGATAATTGACTAGACTAACTCTTCAAATGTTTGGTAAGACTAAACCACACAAAATCCCTGCTTGAAACTGGATTAAATTAGCAAGCCTAACAAAGAATAGAATGTATTTTGTTAGACATTATTTTCTACCTCAGAAACAAATTCAATGATTATTTTTACAAAATACAGCCATTACTATACAAGAAAGGGCTGTGGCCGAGGAAAGTAGATTAATAGCTCTATTAAAAAATAATCTCTACCACTATTAGTCACACAAACTTCTGTAGGTTAACTGATATAACCCAACCTTTTATTTCTAAGAAATACCATTAATCTACATTTCTGAATAAAGTGAACAATAATTTGACAATAATTATTTTAGGCAGGCAGGAACATTTAATCTCTGTCCCTAGATAAACAATGGAGCATGGGGATTTTGAAAGAAAAATTTAGATTGAAGACAGAAAACTTAAGTGTTTACATTTGGAAAATTACACAAGAACTATTGCATAAATGACTGTACTACTTTTCCAGCCTTTTAATAGAATGTTACTTAGCATGCTTGTGTTAGGATCTTACCTGTACCTGCTGAACATCTTCTATGTGTTGTTTTCCTGCTTCTAGCACAGTAGATTTCAACTCTGATTCTGAAAAAAAAAAAACACATAGATATAGATTAAATATACACACATTTCATTACTCTTCTAAAATACGCGTTAAGGATTTAATCAAAAGAGGATAATTAAGAAAACAACCATCCTACTTTCCTAATTATTCACTTAAAGTTATATATATATACATATATATATAATGTGCAATTACAGTGAGCCTGATCTCAGTGCCCAACTCAGCATTAAATGGTATCATCTTAAAAATATAATACATAAACTTCAAAGAACTCTATTTTGACTGTCAAAATTTCTGATTTAAAGAAAAGTAGTTACAGGTTTCTTATCTACATGTCACCAAAGGTTAAACAATAATTCTTGTGATCGTTCACATTCAGCCTCATTAAGAAGTATCATATAAAATCATAGAAAACCTTGGGTTGGTAGAGACCTCAAATATCATTCCAGTTCAATCGCCCTGCAGCAGGCAGGGTTGCCATCCACTAGGTCAGGTTGCCCAGGGTTCCATCTAACTCTACCTTGAACTTCAGGAATGGAGCATCCAGAACTTCTTTGAGCAATTTGTTCCAGTGCCTTATCACCCTCTGAGTGAAGAATTTCCTAACATTTGATCTGCATTTTTCTCACTTCTTTTTATTTAAAACTGTTCTTTGTTCTATTATTATCAGACTGTGTAAAAGTTCTCTATCTTTTTAATAAGCTCCCTTTAAGTACTCAAAGACTGCAATGAGATCTTCCCAGCCTTCTCTTCTGCAAAGGTACAAGAACCCATAAGCAGGATAATTAATGTTGGCAGCTATGTCGTGGCCCTCCTGATTTGCCACAAGATTTGAGATGGCCACTAGGAGGTAGACAATGACAGAGATAAAACTTGTATTTTAAAAATGTGCTTGAAAGACAATTGGCTTTACTAAAGAAAGTAAATTTGGAGAAATATCAAAACAATATTATTACTTGTCTGGCATCTCAGTTGTGCAAAATAGTCCTGTATACTTATTGTGTAAGCGTACAGAAATTACTTCTTAAAGGTAAGGGCATTCAAAGTGTGGATATAATACTAATTATTTACTTTGGGTTCAAACTGAGTTAAAAACAGCATTAATTTGACTTTCAAGACATTGACAACATTATCCATTTACACTGAAAGACAAAACAAGAACTCTTCATTCTTCAACTGTTTTCCACTTCTGAATAACTAGTAAAAATCACAATGAACATCTACGCATTCCTCCACTAAATTACCTTATGTATATCACACACTATAATATATAGATTATAATATATAATAACTTCAATAATCTGCACATTTTTCCTGGAAAATGGACATCACAACAAAATTCCAAACTGCCAAGCTTTTCTTAGCTTCAAATTTTTGTTTATAAACTGTTGTCTCTAATGTTAGCATTGTATACAATAATAAAGATACAAATAAAGAATAGCTAATCTTTATACAGAAATTTAAATCCTTATAAAATACGTGCCCCCTTCACATATCAAAGGCCACGTATAGAAACAGTAATTTAGTCACACATCATGAGAGAAGTGTGAATATTTCAGGATTCATGTGCAGTATCACTCACTTCCATTTTCTTCCACATGGCAAATACACAAACAAAGCTAAACTCATGTAAATAAATAATTTTATTCAGAACATTTAATTTTTCCTTTTCCTTCCATGCATCACACAGCAAATTTACACGAACTGATAAAATTTCAATAAGACAACACAGAAAGTAAGTTTATGACTATTTATGCTCCATTTAGAAATGGTAGCAATATGCAGTTTTCCTTTTTATCTCTAATTCTATTTGCTTATTTTTTTTTTGCAGCATTTAAGAGAGCAGTAACTGAGATAAGGAATACACATATACTACACATTTTATATAAGTATAGTAGAAATAATTAAATAGAACAACATTGGATGGAAACAGTGTACAAAATGAACAGATTTAATATAGTCTGCATCTATATAGTTGAAACGCTATCAAATTAGTAAAAATAATAACATTCTGTATTTCAAAATATCTTTAATTCATCGTTCATCTGGACATAAGAAACATCAAAAAAAAGTGTTTACTTGCACTAGCCTCTGCCATGCTAAAATCTCAAGGTAAAATAAGGAATAAAATATTACTCCTTTTGTTTTTCGAAGTCAGTCACTCTGATTGCATATCATTACCTAAGTCTCCAAGAAGAGCAAACCAAAGTACATGGCAATGAATTCATTTACCACATATGGCACCATTCTTATTGAATACAAAATAAAATAAGTAGTTCATCAATAAAAAACTGGACTATTGTGATAGTCCAGTGCTGGATCATCCCACACCCTGAACTGCATCAGTAAGATGCATGCATTAATGTTTCTCTGACCAGTAATAGAGTTGCTTTAGTAAAAGTGTAAAAGTCACTGCATAAACAGAATGATATAGTAACACTGCATTTTTTTGTTGGCATCGCTTATTTTGCTTGACTGCATAAATAAAAAAGTATTGCCATAACAAATAATGTCCATGCAAGGAATACTTTGCTCTTGTTCCAGAAGAAGTGTTCTCAAAGAAATGGAAATCTCAAATTAACTCCACCCAAATGCTACAAGAAGTATTTAGAGATATGTTGAAATGATGACTCAATTCTTCAAATTGAGAGAAAAAAAGGAATAGTCGGTAACTGAACAAAGGTTATGAGACCTGGTAAAAATCTATTAGTCAGCAGAGGTGTACATCTTGATTGCTAGGAAACATACATTTTTTGCTAAATAGTTTTTATTAGATTTATGCTATCTAACATTATTTCTGATGCTAACCCAAGATCTTCTAAATCAGTTCTGTTAGAAGTTAAGATATTAACTTTATACCTTGGATTCTAAAAGGCAGCAGTTCCCCCCAGTGTCATATATACATCTTGTCTAAGTCCAAAAAATATACCTGCTTCTGGAATTTTAAGTTTTTGTTCTTCATCTGGAGGTTTGGGTGGGGGCCATGCAGATGGAATTCTTCTTGGAAAGCTTCCTTCAATGTAATCTGATGAATGTGTGGGTTGGCTAACTGCAGCCCAAGTATAAAGCTGGTCTTGCTGTGGTCATTAAAAAAAGAAAGAAAGGTTGAGAAATTCATTTATAAAGACAATATCAAAATATCAATGTCTTTATTTCCAACACAGAGTTCATTAACCATCCCTATGTCAAGACAGGTTTCTTCTTATACTCTCCATCTTGCGCAAAGAATTAACATAAATCTACGAATGTTTTGATTTTAAAATAACACCTATTAACAATAGAAAAACTAATCTTAATTATCTACATGCACAAAAAGAGACTAGAATACAGTTCAGCATTTTTAGTGTGTGTGAGCAACTCCAACACCTTTTCGTAAAGAGACAGAAGTTTCTGTCCAGCATGACAATATCACTTTAAATAGGGCTAGTTTACAGTTTGCAGAAAGGAAAAAATATTTCAATCCATATTCTATATATCACATTTACAAATCAGAAGAAGAAACCGAATATTCTTAGGATCCTTTCAGAATAAACCGAACTGAGATGTTTATTCTCTACAACTCTGCTGATTTGTTGTTTTCACTTACATTTCTGTATTGATAGACAAATTAAAAGGTAAGTTTGCTTTTAAAAGCAAATTAAAGCGTTCTTAATTATCTGGTGTCAGATCCAAGCACATTCTTCAATAGCTTTCAATTTTATCCATTTTGTGTAAGTAGGAGACACCCAGACTCTCTGATACAGGTTGAGCAAACAGTTACTAATGATTTCAACTTGAGAAAAGGTTAGCTGATCACATTCAAGTAGTTTTAGTTGCGATTCCTAGTATGCATCAACAAGTCCATGTTGAGATTAGATCTTTTTAATACTATAAATTTTACAAAAAATACTCCAAGCAAGAGCATGAATCCTAGCATTTGGTCTGGAATTATGCAAAATATTGCACTACAAAATTAGAAAAATCAACATAAAGAATAAACATAATGATATCCCTCAATAATATCTTCTTTCAAAGACCACATTTATGATCCCTGTTCCACACTCTTAGCCCAGTGTCTGTAATATGTTTTGCTGCATTTTTCATTTTAAATATTAAACTTTTTTTTTTTTTTTTTTTTTTTTTTGCATAGATCCTAAACAAATATTGAAGACTGACACCAGAAGAACATAACACAACATTTTGGGAGTAATTTCTACTCCATGTAACTAAACTGGTATTTCTTTAAAAATAAGTTGTGATAAGGCAGTACAACTTTATCCTAATCTGAACAATTTAGAACATGCAAATGCAAGTTATAAAGGAAAAACTGCTGCAAATATATTGCAAATAAGTTTATTAGGTCTTTCCAGCATGAAAAACATAAGTATCCAGACACATAATCAGATCTTGAATAAAGACAAAAATAAAGATTTTTATCCATTTATACAAAATTACATCAAATTCTTTACTTAGACTTTTAAAGGGAGATAGCATTAATGGCTATTGTTTTCTCACATGCTACTCAGGCATGGTTAATGCAATTCTTCCAGTAACTTGGTACTTCCCATTTATCCAATTTATGCAAATTTTTGCTTTTTAGAAGATAAACATTTCAGGCGTCAGCCTAAATTTCAGTAACACAGGAATAAAAAGGAGAAAGAGAGAGAGGGAGTCCTGTGAATAGCGCATAAAGAAAAGGAAATGGTGCTAACTATTTCTATTTATCTTTTTTTGCTGCACCATCCAAATCTCAAAAACAGTGGAAAATATTTCTGAAACAAACCAGAACAAAATATTGCTGCCCACTGTATTGCTTAGTGTTGGAAACCTTACACAATCCAAGGAACAAGGAGAAGAACAATCTGTGCAGTTGATTAGCTGGGTAATCACAGACAGTTTTCACCAGGATTGTAGTTATAAAGAAATAAAACAGAAATAAAATAGAAAATGACAATAAATTGCAGATTATATTGACACACTATAAATAGAAGACAAACTATTCCCAGACACGATATTTCAGTCTCTTGAAAGATATAGTATAACCTTTTAACAAATAAGCTTTGATGCATGATTAGTCTACTTGAATTTTAAAAAAAACATTTGAACACTATATCTCAGAATAATGGTACAATTAGAATACATTATCAGAGTAACATAATATGAAGTATTTGTGTTCCAGCTTATATAATTTACAGTATATAAATTGTGACCAGTTAAGACATCAGACAACTCCATCCTATACTCCTAAACCTTGGTTACCATAGAAGATTTTTTTTATTGTTGTTGTTCTGTTTGTTTTTGAATCTCTCATTTTCTATTTGACACAAAGAAAGATGAGGGAAGAGTCTGCAGTATAATAGATACTTACAGAGATGTATGACAACTTGTAAAAATAACTGGTTAAAGTCAAAATGCATCACTGTTCAATGTATAAGGAAGGTATTTAACACCATCTGGTTATAGACTACATGTAAACTTAAAACAGAATTTCAGATATGAAAATTCCTTTTCACAGAAAGGTAGTCTGAAAAACTTGCCAAGTTGATATTCTATAAATGGCACTGAAAATGGGAAAAAAATTAATCCTATCTTCACTTCCACACAATCCAAAAGACAAATCATTTGAATGTCCTAATTCTTAATCACTCAATATACAGTCCAAAATCTCTTTGCCTTTAGTCTTTAGCTCCTTCTCAGTCACGCCTACTACAGTAATATATCATTTTTTTCTCAAAACTGACACTGCTACAAATTTGCATGATTATTGAAAAATTTTGATAAAGGCTATACGTAGTCAATTCTTTGATACTGAAATACTATTCAAGCAAAATAAACAACAAAAAAATCTAAGTAAAGTATCCACATTTTGTTTTACCATTAATAAATTTACTATAGGGATACATGAAACTACTGACTTCCACCTCCAACTTCTGTAATATTTCCTCAAAGACAGTTTTTACTATTATTATAATTTTATAAGCACAGCAAATTAATTCTCTTACCTTGATCAAGTGTTGAATACATCTAGAATTTCCACTTTGTCTTGCTCAATCTCCACTATTAAAGGGTATAAAGCACTGCTTTTGGATAAAAAAAATAATCCTTCTACTGAGTGATCCCAGTCTTATTTGTTTGGACTCATTTCTGTGCAGACATTGAGAGCTTAAAGCTCTCTGAGTTCAGTGCACTAGATGTCACATCACGTGGAGGATTCTGGTTTTCACATATCCTTACACAGCACTTTCCTCTGGTTCTTAAAACTGCATAGCATTTGCACATGGGTGAGGCAAACTGCAAAAGGACCTGATGATAACTAATCAATAGATATTTTACCATTTATAGTAGGTAGTGTTGAGAATACAGCTGTACACGATCAAGTCTGTGGATTAACTCGCTCTCTTCCTGTAGCTTAAAATGAGTTTTCTAAGGTAAGAACTTCTCTAAGAGTTTGTTTGTTCCACATTATATGCAAGTGTTTGTACTTTAAACAGCACTATCTTCTTTACTGCAGATGGAAGAGAAATATTTCCATTCAGAAAGTTTAACCATTCTAATATACTAAATATACATCTCCCTTTTCTCACTGCATGTAAGTAGTTAATTGGACAAGCAAGGTTTTAGTTTGAGAAATTAGAGCCAATCCACTCAGAATGCTCTCACCAGCAGGAGACTGCTTTATTTTAAGCAGCTCTTAAAATAAAGAAATCAATACTATCAAGAAAAGGAAAAGCAGTTTACTTTTTGATGAGAGGTTCAGTAGCAAAGCTCCATCTAACTACTGTAAAAAAAAAAAAAGTGGAGAATTAAATACAGCTCTCAGCTTCTACTGCCTTCAGCTGTATTAGTGAACACAAATGCCTTGCAAGCTTGAAAAATCAGCAAGTCAGTCAGAATACTCTAATATATGGCTGAAGTAGCATTCTATTTCCATGAACTAAATTTGTGACTAAGCACCTTAGTTATTCGACTGACTTGCTTCTTTTTAGAAAACTAAGGTACCTCAACAACACACTGAAGAAGTACCTCCCAAATTCCACAAGCCATGAAACACTTCTTTTGATTGATAATTTAGAAAATATTTTATTCTCTTCAGCAAAATAGAACAAACTTGTTGATGGCAAACTTTGTTAGTGTTTCAGTCTTGTGTTTAATGGGTAAGAAAGGCCAACAGAGCAAATAGCCCTGGTTAGGGCTATTGTGGGAACATGTATCAGTTTTAAGTTTCAACAACTATTCTTATTCAGTTTCAGAGTTACTGTTCTGGTCTTCCTTTTACACATTTTTCTGATTTTAGTATAGCTTGAAATATTGAACTTCTGCATTTAGCTGATTCTCTCACAATGAAACAAAAATCTGAAAATCTAGTCTCCTTATACATGTGACTCAAACTTTCACATGGAAGACCACATCTCAAGACTACTAGCTTAACACCTATTATTTAGACCACCTGGATGTATATACTTTCACATTTACTTTCCCAGAACTATGATCTCTAAACTAGTAATAATTTCAACAACGGATAAAATGCAGATAAGTACTAAGTACAGACAAAATTTCTTAATAACAGTGAAACTGAATACACTTGCCTCGCTTTGATAGGAGTATGTCAGCTTTTATTGGTGTCCAAACAGTTTCAATTCTAATATATTTTGGAGACTTTACTGATGACTGTCCGTATACAGCCACATTCTAGCTCTTATGATACATTAATAGAGCTAAATAGGGGCATAAGACCTCTATTGAAAGTTGTAATTCTGCTAATGTTTGCAGAAATTGCTGGGATGCATTCTTGCTGAAGATGAACTGTTTAGCCAGCTCAACCTTATGTTGAGCTCTAATAGGATAATACAATGAGCTAACATGCAAAAAACATGAAGATTACACCTGCACTGTATAAATAAGATTATTAAATAACATACCTCAGTCATTGGGACTGACAGTCTTCTACAAAGCATTAATTTATTATATACCTTTCAATCAGAGAGTATATTTGATTTTCATTTGATTCCTTAGGAGCACTTTTGAACGAGTCACAGCTACTAAAAAGGAAGAAACTGAGGAGGAAAACCAGGCAAAAAACTAGTAATTATTTGGAGAATACTCCTTGTATAGGCTTTCCTTAATCTGTCCTTCTAAAAGTTTTGCATTCAGCAGATTGGTCTTTTTTTTTTTTAAATATACTTTTAATTTCTTTCATAAACAGGCAGAATGACATGCAGTAAAGATAATGTGACAAGTAAAAAGTCATGACACTCATAAGCCAATAATTAGCAGCCCCTCTAAGGGGGAGGAAACCAGCAAAGAGGCAGTCACATCTCCAGAGAACGAATCTGCCAATGTACATTTACTTATTCTTCATTGTTATAAAATAAGTAGAAAAAGCTGGAGTGAAAGCTTTCACTGCTGCTCAAAAGCAAACATATTAAAAATCCCAATCTATTTCTGTTAGTTTTAGAGCTTTGCTTGACTTTTATTTTTCAGACTAATCTTTTATTCTGGACATCTGTCAGATTTTATTTTATTTTTTTTCCTAAAGAAACAGCTGACAAAAATAGGCCATGATAGAACAAAACAATTCTTATCGTAAATCTCAAGTTTCTATTATTTGGACTACAGCTTGAAATTTGACAAAAAGATCACTGACATTTCAGGAACATGTAATTTCTTACCATCGTTAATTTCCATCCACAATCTGACCAGATTATAAACCCTCAGCAAAAATTTCGTGAGAGCTGATAGCTTTCTGACAATTCATGCTTTCATTGGGTATTCTTTGGTACTTTATATTTATCATATAATAACAAAGAAATGAGCACCAGTTCCACAAAGCATAACCCACAGCAGAAATATAAGTGCAAAACAAGACAAGAGTTGTGAAAATTGTCTTTAATCTTCATGCATTGTCTAACACTAATCATTGTGAAAAAGAAAGAAACAAGATCCAATGAGAAAAGTAAAGATTACAATCATTTAATGAGGTGAAGCAGAGCCCCACACTGAAGTTTGGAATATCCCAAGAGAAAGAAAAAAAAAGAAACAGTTCTCTGCTGTGCTGCTGAGAACACAGGCAGAGGTTTCGATACTTGCACAACAGGGAAAACTAAAGGTGGCTACTGGACATGAGTAATCAAAAAAGATGAGAATATAATCAGTGCACAACTGCAAATATTTCAAGCCACAAGAGAGTTTTGCATTAGCCAATGTTAAATTAAACATGACTTTTAAATAATCTGTTTACATTCATCTCAGGCCACGAGCAATAGATCTCAGAGTGAACAAAACATATGGAATTATTTTCATAAATTGTAATCTCTTTAAAAAAGTCTGTGGGACCACATTAAGCAAAAGAGGAATAACAGATTTTATTCAACATGAAAAAGAAATACAAAAAACATAGCTAAGTGAAAACTCAGAAATACGTGTGATCAGTCACAAAAGGAATAAAAGAATAGATCCAAAGAAGGATTTCAGTGGAAAAAAAAAGTTGGCAATCCAGCAAAAAACATGCTGAAGGAGTGACTTAAGAGTCACTTTATAAGAACCAGACTGAGACAAAAAAAAGAAAAAAAATCAAAACATTCCCCTGAGTAACTTAAGGAATAAGCAATCACAAGAGTTGGATATAGCAGAATAGGAGGACAGTGAGGTGGTAGTTAAACCTGCCTCCGACCAGGACGAGGATACAGGAGTTTTGCTGATAGCAGTTTCAGCTGAGTAAAAAGGACTCCTGGCCAAACTGGAGGGGATCCAGCATGAAACTGGAGGCAATGGCTGTTAAGTGGCACATCAGATGAACTCAGATGAAGGAAGAGTACGGGACTGGCTATGCTCCCAAATTTGGGGTAAAGTCAAAGAGATTTTATCTGTAGAGACTGTATCTCCTAACTCTAGATAGGCGAAGTTTTAAACGCTGCTTAAGGCTAGTCTAATTCCTCTGTCAATGGTTGGATCAACAGTAAAATCCTGTTTGTTGTTTTTTTGGGGGGGAGGATTTTTTTCCAGCAAATGTTGTAATCAAAGCTCTAAAGGAGATGAGATTAACTGAATCTTTGCTAAAAACCAGGAGAACTGAAAATATTGCTAAAACCGTTTTAAACAAATTGACAAAACATATTTTGCAATAAACTTATGAGTATGTGAAACCATAAAAGAGAAATTTTCAGATGGAGTGCAATGTTAAATTGCCTGAATAACATTAGTTTTATAGTCATACTTCATTGTCAGTTTTCTTCAATTTATCTCCTCCCCCAGAAAAAAAAATCCTCTAGTTTGAAAATACATTCAACTTAAAAAAAAAAAAAAAAAGCAAAACAATAACAACAATAATTCAGTGTTGCTATAGACATCTTTAGGAAAGCTTGATTATATGGGAAAGCTTGCTTGTTTTAAGAATATATCCAAACATTTATTCTTTGCATGCTCCTTTTATTATCTATATACTACACCACCCTTCAGCAAGATGAAAAAATATTTAAAACATTAAAAATACTCAAGGTCTCTCATATCCATTCCAATCATTTGCTAACCGTATCTAAGCAAGTTTCATCTTTATGTGCAAAACAGAGATGATTTGATAAAACTCTGGTTATCTCCAGTCACAGACTGGCTAAAGCCCAAATTTCAATGGAGAAGTTCACAATAAGTTCACCGTAAAAATTCACCTACAGTACCATACAGTAGAATTAAATCTTAATTTTGAATTTATTATCAAAGGGGAAGGAATAGTGTGTTAGGCAGTGTCTACAAAACTATCCCTTCTTAAATTCTGTAACCATATGCAAATCCCACCAATAACAGCACTGTGGCCAGATAGCTCAAAGGCAGAGATAACAATGTGGTTGGAATGCCAGTAAATTTATACTAACTCTTGCCCGATTTTGTATCCAATGCCTTTTCTGGGGGGTGAGGGGGAGAACTGTCTGTGCTAGATGTGTAATTTGCGTTCCATTTATGATGTGCTCTCTTTGTTTTGCTTATGACTGATTTTTTATTTATATTTTTTGGTGAGGCAGCTATTAGATTTAAATATTGGTAGTCCTATAAGGCACCTGGATTCATATATAAATACTTCATGTAAAAAAGACTAAAAAAAATACAGAGCAACAGCGCACAATAAGATATGAGTTATAATGCCAAGAAACCAAGTAAGCTTAACTATGTACATAAGCGTATGTACGTTAGATCAGGAAGTTGGCTTCCTGGCAATTTTTAGAAAGGCAATTTTCATTAAACAGGATAACCTTCTCCAGACTGATTCTCTCTCTCAGGCAATCATAAGGCACTGATAAATTACATCCCTCTTGGAAAAAAAGACAAAAAAACCTTTTCCATTACTTACATCAAAAGTGGGTGTGCTTTGCTGGGCACTCTGATTACATGGTTCTCTGAAGCAATCGGTGAATGGAAGTAAGAGACCCAATGCAATAATACGAGAACATAGCTTTTCTGCTTCTTCTTGTGGTGCATTTTCCTGCTGGCTGAAGAGCTTTTCCAGCAGAGTTCGTCCTGCCAACACAATGACACAAATCAATAAGAATTTGTAGCTATCTATGGAGTACAAAAATTAAGGCACTACAATGCTTATTGAAAATCTCAAGAAATAAAAGAAATTAAAATCTGTATTAAAAAAAAATGCGGAGAAAAGCACCTCATAATAAAACAAACTCTTCATATCTAATCGTTTGGTCTGATCTGTAGCCTGATTAGTTGGGATGTTCAAGAAAAGATACATTTAGCTGGCTGCACTGCGGAGCAGGGAATGCAAGATTTGTTATTGAAGCATCAAATTCCTATTTGTATTATACAATTACATTTTTTCCTGATGGTAAAAAATGAGATTACTGAGAATTGAAATACTTTTTTCCAAGAGTGTCATGCAAAGTTATCATGGAATCAAGTCTCCCAGCTCTTGGAATTGGTCTTTGTTTTTTTGAATCAAAGCAATCTTAGACTTCAAGAAACTGTGCTCCAGTACTGTGGAGAAAGTCTCAAAAGAATAACAACAGCAGTGACAACAAAAAGAAAAATTGATAAATACTCAGCTTAAAATGATATTTAATACAGCTCCAACAGAGTGTTCCAAGATAAAATGCAGTGCCACAACCAGCAATACAGATTTTAGAGAAGAAAAACTTTCCAAGATTCAGAAAAGTGATCCATTCCTGTTACAGGGCTGGATTTTTGATCAAAGGCTTTTCACTGCTCTCTGACCAGACCAGGAAAGGAGAACGTATGATATAAAGCACATTAGAGGAGACAGTGCTAGAGGTCTGAAAGATCTTCATACTCTGTAGACATAGCCAGGAAAAGACTTTAAAAAGTCATTAATATATGCAAGCTGCAGTACAATCTACATTATAAGAATACTAAGTTACTTGATTAAGCTCTAAAATGTGAGAAGATGCCAAAGTTCGGATTTACAGAATATAAAAATAGAGCTGAAATAGACCTACTGGAAAAGGCAGAGGGAGTAATAAAGTTAATCACATGTTTTAGTATGAACTAGCTGTGAATATAATTTGTACCTAAATCAGTTTGTATAGTCTGCTTTTTCCACATACTCACTGGAAGACAAAGTTATTTTCCAGAAAAAAAAAAAAAATCATTACATTAATAAAGCAATTGGGTGTCATTTTAATCAGTTAAAACAACAACAAAAAACTTTTTTCTTGTAAAAATGCAAAAAGATTTCTGTTCAAATTTTATTCAAATGCAAAATTTTCAAGGCTTTTTAAACATACAAAGGATTTTTTAAAAACATCTGGATGTGATTTGAAAAAGATATTGAGATTTAGCCCAAAGTTTCTGTATTATTTTAACTTCATGTGGCAATTCAGCCTAAAATAAGCAATACAATAAAACATTAGAAGTTATTTCTAAGATTTTCCTCCCCACGTCTACAGATCTGATAATTCTAAATTATTAGTCCAAGTTTCCTTGCCTTTTATTAAACACATTGCTGTAAGCCAGGCAAAAGAGGCATGGGTTTTGTTATGTTCTGGTCAACTTGCTGATTAGTTTGCCTCTGTTCCTTTGGTTTCATCACCTATGGAGCGATGCCGTAACTGCTTACTGAACATATGCCTCTGTTTATTTATCTAATGACACTGCAGTTTTAATAACTGTGCTCTGCACCAATATGTAGCACTCCTGAAGCAAAGCACATGATATTATAAATCTAATAGTGCTAACTGAAGTTCAACAGCATGAAAACTCACCAAGCTAAATGAGACTACAAGTAATGAAAACGAATGGGGAAGTCGATGCTTTATATTAATCTGAAATACACAGAACACTACACATTTCTTCATAAGATTTTAAATATTCAAAATTCACGTATAGCATTATAGGTTCTGACTTGATTTCTTTTTTTTTTTTTCCCCCAGACATTCCAACATTTTTTAAAATGACAATAGTCTTCTCCTGGATGTGCAGGAGTACATGCTCCCCCACTCCACACACTTCTGCTTTAAGGTAATGAACAGGAATAATATCTGTAGATGACAAGACAGGAAATTAAACCCTTTACCACCACCTCCTCTCCCCAACTAGCCATTCATTCCCTAATTTGTTAACAGTCTTGCTCATGATCAAATACTCTGTTAGTTGTTCAGAATCTTAGTTGGTATTTACTCAGTTTAATTTGTATAGTAGTTATATGTTATTTTATATTATATGTTATTATATGCCTTTTAACAACTTTCAAAATCAGTTTAGGATTCTGAAAATATGTAAAAAAAAACATGGATGAACTTCATTTCTTATGTATTACTCATGCCATTTTATGCATCTGCACCTGAAGTGTTCTCTCTAGTGTATTATCAGCCTTTGAATATGTAGGGCAGTAAAACTTATTTAATGATATTAGCTAGTACTTTTTAATTTTTAAGCATCAGTCACTGAAGTGCAGAAAACCTGAGTGCTATTATCTGTTGCAAAGGACAGTTTACATACTGAATTAAAAAAAAAGTCATCAAGACAAAAGTAATAACGTTTTGATATATCTATGCTCTAACATTGTGTGTACTCCTTGCTCTTGTTGTGGAGACCTGAGGACAGAGAGAGAAATTGAAATTTCAAAAAATATATTTAGCTCTTTTAGCACATTTTACTAAAAGCAAGCTGAAACATATTTGATTTTCAGTGCATACAGAAATAGCTCCTCTGTGAACAGCTGTGAAAAAATCCCTGTATCAACATTATAACAACAAATTTAGAGCACTTAATGAGCAATATATTTAAAACAATGTCAAACCACTGATTTTTTGCATCTAACTAGCTAGGTCTTATCAAAATGAATGTTTTTTTCAAGCATTAGAAAAAAAACCTCTCTCTCACCAAAAAGCAGAAAGCCAAAGGTATAAAAAGACAGCATGTTTTTCTTTAAATGGGGAAAGGAAATACTCTACTGAAAAAAAGCATTTCAGTATTGCAGAATGCTATTCATTTTCATAAAGCAACTTCAACCATGCCGCAGAGTGAATACAGCAGTTCCAGACAGGGCTGAAGCTTTACATATAGGACTATATGACTAGGACATATAAAAGCCATCTCTTACCAGTAAGTAGTTACTCCCTTGTAAACCTGTATTTCTCCTGCCCCCGCGTTCAGGTAAAAGCCATAGTTGTCACTGCTGTGAAAGAATTCCAGCACTGAAGTCCTTCAAAGTCCTTCACAGCCTATGGATGCTGGTGGGCTCCCCTGTCCTGCTGCCATCTGACTCTATGTTCTCCTGCAGTTATGTCAAAGCAACCTTATCCAAGCTGCTTGTGAAGCAGAGGTCATATTTATGATTTTGATATGCAGAAGACAAAGATTATATTTCTGTGGAGTTATAGTAAAATGCCTTCTTTAACACCAGACTCAATAAACCAGCTTTGTTTAGAGCTGGAATTGGTTTGCTAGCACCCTATCCACACTACACATCTGGAACTAATTCAATAAAAACGTTTTGACAACTTGCATAAAATTGGAAACGCCAGCTTTACAAAGTTAATCCCTCAATCTCTTGAACAGCAAAAACAAAAGTCACAGAGGTATTTAAGGCAAAAGTTGAGTTCCAGTCAATTTCAATAGCAGTATTTTTAATACTTTCTCAGCAGGTAAAGATTTCTTCTCCACCTCCATGTCATCTACTTCTTCATTTCATATCCATTAGGATGATGCATTATGATCTTGCCAACTCCTTTGTAACATTACAGTTTTTCCCCCCATCACAAAGACTTAAAACACTATCTAAACCACAATTGGAAACAACTGTAGAACATGCAAGTCATTCACTAGAGAACAAAAACTCACAAGGCCTAGTACAGTTTCCTTTCATGCTGTCTCCCTTTCTCAAAAAAAAAACACAGAATATTTGCAGTTCTTTAATGTTCATTTTCAACTTTGGGTTTACTGAAGCTTTATCTATTGGGCACAAGCCCAGACACAATCACAGATTCTCCTCTGCTCTGGAGAGGTGTCTATTTGTATTACTTCTCCTTACATACTGCAGCAACTGCTACTGTTAGTAAGGATGATCTGGACTGGTTTGTCTGCAGTGATCTTGATCGAGTCATTTCTGATAGGAAAGGATGCCTATTTTAGAAGGAAATGCATTCGGTCTATTACAGCTACCTTATATCCAGGACAACATTTTTTTTTCTCCTCAAGCAGATGCAAAAGTACTACACGTTTATGAAATATGGGTTTACCTTAGACTGGACTGCATATGGGACTACCAAACACTAAAAGCATGTTCAATGCAGTTCACAGAAAGACTCTGGCAAATCTTAACTAAATCAGTTCACATTATAGCTTCCTTCATGTTCACTCTGCTTAGAACAGCAATAAAGCCCATAAGAGCAAGCAATACCATAAGTATATTGTTGTAGGCCTTGGAATTATACATTTATCGAGGAAAGAGTGAGGGATGGATGGAGAAGATGAGCAGAAGAGAAACAGGATAAAGAACTACAGTGCTCACAGACATACTGAAAAAAAACATAAAAACATGCACTGATGTACTGCATCACACCATTGCTTGCACTGAGAGGACTGTTGTTATACCTTCAACATTTATCTTTAAATATGTGGTTCTTATTCTTACATTGCATTTGCAAAAGCCTGAGAGCACAGCTGTCAGTGAGTAAAGTTGAGCCTGACAACCACTTTGAGTTATAGTCCAAAAGCTTTCTCTTCTGCTGCTCTCCTGTGACAATTAGACCTCACTTCCACCATTAGCAGAGCAGCTGCTTCAGCAAACCTTAACCTATACAGGCTGGAGACAGTCTTTCCACTTTGATTTCTCTCAGTGAGAAGCGAATGACTGCAGCGTAACGAATCCTGAAAGCCCTACTCAGATTCATGCCATAGATGACTCATACACATACTGCTTACATCTTCAAGAACTGAAATCAGGTTTTTTTTTGTTTTTTTTTTTCCCTTCCTCTCCCTCTAATTTCAGTGATATCATAAATGCTCACACAGGAAAGGTCTTTGATAAGCTTTGAAGCAAAAAGTAC